AGAAATCTTTTCTAGGAAAATTACCTGCTGACAAAAATAATTTAGTCCACAGAAAAATGGAGTGGGTTTTATTTTGTCACTGTTATTTTTAAGAAAGGTACATGACCCATTTAGTCCTGCATAAATTAATAGAAAAAAATCATTTTTAACCCCCCAGTAACAAAGCAGCACAAGTAATTTATTCTTTCACATTGCAGCATCTTTTTAAGAATTAAGCATTCTTCAGTAATTGTTATCACAAGTATTGTCCTAAACAGAATACATTCATCTTTCCAAAGATCTCCCCCTTCTTATTTTAATATTCAAACACATACAGAAATAGTGTCACAAAGCCTTGTGCTGTTCTTATCATGCTTAGATGAAGCAAAAGAATGTTATCCTGTCACTTGAACTCATGGTACAGTTTCTAAATTTATAGGCTGTTAGGGGAATGATTAAGTGTCCAGGTAAAGTCTGTGCTGAAGCTTATTTTCCCACTGAAAACTAACTAGCAATTGCCAACAAATTAAATGCGAGCCTGACAGTTGCCTGATTCTGCATGGTGGGTATTTGCTTTTGGCTTGTTATGTGTAAGGATGACAGAAGCACTGGTCGACCAGTTGTTCACTTCATCAAACCTTTATTAATATGAAAGGATTAGGTTTTACAATTCTAAGTATAACTAGCCCAAAACACAAAATCTTGGCCTCAGCCATACAAGTAACGTTTTTAAGTGCCACAAGAAATAACAACCCAATAACTGATGAAATACAAGATAATGAGTCATATAGGTATAACGTACAGTCAGCCTTAAATTTCTTAGTGTGAAATTAGAATAATTATTTATGATGTTGGAATTGTTTATGTAACTGTGGTTAATTGGAGAATACAACCTGAAACAACCCCTGCAAAATCATGAAGCCTACTGATGTTTACCCATGCAGCCACATTAGGAAAGGTGAAGTCTTTAGATTATGGGTGCTCCTCCTTGAACAGTGGTATTAAGATAATTGGCTCCAAGGGACAGTTCCTACAGCAGTCCAGTCTGTCCTAAGGTTTTACCTGTGATTAGTGGAAAAAAGACATCTTTGTCATGTTTCTGCTTTTTAATAACTCTTTCCCATATTGATATCAAATGACAAAAGCAACAAAAACCCAAGGCCAGCACTGTTACTAGAACATTGTAAGTTCTCCTTGACTCCAACAAACAAAAGCAATCAGCTAATGTATTACATTTCTGTATTACTTTGGTCTTATATTTTAAGTAGAGTTCCATCCATTGGGGCCCCAGATTAATTCAGTTAAGTCTCATACATTTCTCTTGGATTAGGAGTGAACTCTAATTACTGTTGCATTAGCAGATGCAAATCATCTTCGAGATAGGATAGGAAATTGAAAATTAAATAAACAAATGTTACCCCCCCCAAAAAAAAAACATAAAGGAAGTTTGGAGTTGCAGTCTCCCAGCAAGAATTTCTAAGGAAGCATTCCATGGCACCAAAGCACTTGGAAAGACAGCATATTGTGTATTTTCACACGATTGGTTGAAAACTCTTTCTAAATATGTTATATGGAAAACCAAGACCTCAACTGTTTGAAACAGACTGTTGTTTAAATTTTGTTTACAATTTGAGGTTAATATTTTTAGAATAAGAAGCCACCACTGTTTCAAAGATCTTCTCTCATTCATCTTTCTATACAGCTCATTATGTTGGGTAATGTAGATATAAGTGTCAGTAGACCATAGAGTGTCTGGATGACATAGTTGTCTCTCACATCTGTGCATTGCAAAGCACTAGAGGAGAGAACTTGCCTGAAAGGTCTTTCTATCAGTGTGAGTAAAGGAATTTGATGGAAAGATACTCTCATTTCGGGTGTTATCTACTCACAGACAACTGTTTAAATGGAAAAAGAATATTAGAATTATGTAGAATTAGCCTAATAATTCTTTGAGTTTTGACTTTTGGTTTTCAATTTTCTTCCTTTTGAAATCTCAAGTCCAAATTCCCAAACCATTTGATAATACAGTATTGATCCCAGGTGCTTACTCATATTTTTATCAGTATTGTGAAATATAATGATTTTCCAATACCAACCCATCCCCCCTCAAAAATTTTTATTATTCAATCTTAAGTCTTATATAAAAAAGTCATCCATAATCACTGATAAAAAATATGCAAAGAGGATTGGATTTCTGGTTCCTTCCTTTAGGGATAATTCTCATCACATTGCCTCTGTGTCCCCAGATGCATTTATTTTAGACACATTTGTTATACTTGATAAGGGAAGAACTGGCACGTTGCCCTGTTGATTCATTTTCCAAGTCATTTTATCCAGATTTCTCCATTCTGACGTGTTTTTTTTTTAAAGTTTCTCATATATTTTCAGTTGAGTGAGGCCCTTAGCAAGAATTCTTTGTATCTATTCTTTAATGCTGTTAACTGGTAAACTAAAATATGGAAAGTGGACTTTCCCTGTGTTATAAAACGGACTCATTCTTGGCCCAGAACCAAATCCTATAGACATGTGAGAGTTGTACACGTCCCAGCGGCTCTAACCAAAGTGTCTTATTTAAGCTGTCTTTTGAATCTACAGTAACTTGGTAGAGGGGAGGAATAAGATCTTTATCAACACAGAGCTGCCAGAACCCCAACTGCTTCTTGAGTAGCTGTAATAGATGAATAATGTTACGGCCAACTGTGCATTTCAGTTTTCGCCCAGAAAGCTTTGCCGTTAATGCTGGTGGTATTCCATTTCCATGTGTTCGTCTTGGAGCACAGTTGTTTCCATCTGACTCTCATTACTTTTCTTGAGAATATCAGTTTTAAAACTAGAATCTGAAAAGCAGTCAAAGTGATTGCAAGTGGCAATCAGTAAAGTATCACAATTTTTTAGTTTGGGCACATATGTTTCATTATAAAGAAAAATTTATTTTTCCATAATTCCAGGTCACGGTATTTTCCCAGAGCTGGGAGGATTGTGGATAAGTTCTAGTGCTTTCGGCTGTAACACACTGATATCCCTTGAGTACATCTTCCAGCCCAGAGATAGGCAACTCATTACTACCTTGGAGACTTGGTCCTTTTTCTTTAGAGTATTTCAAAATGCTTCAGTGTATCAGAGACAAAGCTCCTCTCTCTACAGTTGTAACCTTCAGAATGAAACCTTGGGACTCAGAGTAGATCTAAACCTGTCTTCTGATGTTTTCAGGTAGTGTGTATCCCCACTCCTTAGCTTTTCCTTTGCTGCTATAGTATATTTCACTTTCTTATTATGAAGCATTCACTCTTGAAAGATGCTTGAATTTTACTACTTCCCTTCTAAAAGTATTGTGCTAAAAAAACCTAAGATTTCATTCAGTTGTTTAAGGTACTACATTATGCATTGCATAATGATTAGATTCCTTGTGGAGGGTTGGTACAGGTACATAGCACGTCTTGAGTTTATTTCATCTACTTTCCTTTCTTTTCCTCCACCACCTCCTCCCATCTCCTGATCCCCTTCCCATTTGAACAAACTCTACCTCCTTGCTTGCTATAATCATTTATTTAGCTTTTTATTTATAATTTGGGCTTCTCGTATAAGAAAAAACCAGTGATATTTAAGCTTATGTGTCTGATTTATATCACTTAACATTATGGTGTCAAGATGCATCTATTTCCTGCAAATAACTCAAATTTATGTTTCTTATGACAGAGTAGTACTCTACTGTACATAACTACTACATTTTCTTTATCTGTTCATCAATTTAGCTATCAGGAATTATACTGCTAATATCCAAAAAATATAGCTCTGCTATCTATTAAACATTCTAACTCAGCAAATTATTCCTTTTGTTATGAGTGGTAGCAAAAGTAAATACAAGCACATGGCATGATGGTCAAAAACAACAATAGTCAAGTTAAACCAAAATTAGTGTACAATTCTAACCTGGAATAGTACTTGGAAGGGTTTCCAGGGAATCTGGAGGGCACAGTGTACTCCAGGAAGAATTCTATGGAGGCTGCATATTTTAGGGTAAGTAGCAGACAAGGCGAGTTTAGGCTGTAAGTGGGAGAGCCATATTTTCTAAACAATCAAAGCAAGTCAGTGTCTAGAGATGAAGTGAGTGGAGTGAAATGAGACTAGAGACATACAGAGTTTTGTTTGAAGACCAAGAGTTTTGATTTTATTTTTTAAGTAAGAGGGAACCCACTGTTGGTTCTGAAGAAGTTATAGTATTTGAAACTTGTTCTCATGCTTTGATATACATATCAGACTTACTCTTACGCTCATTAGAACAGACTCGTGAGGTCCAAATTAGAGGTGTTATGGTCAATTAAGAGAACATTGGCATCTCAGAGCAGGTTCTTATGCTCCTTATGTCAGTCGCGTGAGGTTTAAAGCAAGAAGCAAGACTTTCCAGAAGTCATGTCACAGACACAGCAGACAGACTGCTGTGACTGATTCCAGTTTCTCCATCGTGGTGAACTTGGCTGAGGTGTGTGTTCCTCTAGTCTCCAAGGCAGTCATGACAGGATTTACTCACATTGTGAAGATCAGAGAATTGATAGTTCATTTGCAGCAAATGGTTTGTTATTCTGACAGGATCCACCTTATATTTTTCAGACTCAGGAATTCTTTCTTTTTTTAGATTTTTGTTGGATAGTGGGGATTAATATGCGGGAGGCATGTGAGCAGATTATTTATTGTGCTTATGAACTATTTTTTTGCTGGGGTATCAAAGAAAGCAGAGAACCTGTGAGAGAAAAGGCATTGTGTGGACCATCTGTTACATTTCTCTTTCTTTTGTGATCCATTTTGTCATGTTAGAAATACTTGATACTTGAAGTAATGCATTTTTTAAAGAAATATGGTCACAATAGGATCTGTTTCTAATCTTACTTAAAACCCAAACTTGAATAATTGTGCCTCCTCTACCATAATGTGGGATGGTAATATAGCATTGACACTGGGTTGTATCCAGGCTCTGGTCACTTGGGATCTGCTCACCTAGTTCAATCACACTCCTTGTTTTACAGGAATCCCGGGAAGTGACTATGTGAATGCCAACTACATAGATGGCTATCGGAAACAAAACGCCTATATTGCAACACAGGGATCTCTTCCTGAGACTTTTGGGGACTTTTGGAGAATGATATGGGAGCAACGGAGTGCCACAGTTGTCATGATGACAAAACTAGAAGAAAGATCCAGGGTAAGGGGCAGCATCCACCACTCCGGTCTTCCTTCAGAGTCACCGTGTTGTGTTTTATTGTAGTCACAATCCAATCTTTCCCTAAGGTTAACTTTTTCTGACAGGTATTAATTTATGAATGAGCATCAACAACTCTGATAAGATCATTCTTTAAAATTGTGGAGCTCTTTTTAAAATAGTTTCTCCTAGGTTAGGATGTTATGATTGCTGGGGGATGGGGGCAGCATTCTAGGACATGTACAGTTCATTTAAAGAATATAAATGTCCACTTGAATCTATTCCTAAACTTACATTGAACAAGAAACCACAGGTTTCTGGGAGAATATCACCAGTGTGTACTTCCTAGAACGTTCAGCCTTTTGTGTCTCACAATCTATAGGGTAAGATCTAAGTGCTATAAAAGAGGCTCTTACTTAAATTATTCAATTTAACATAAGTTAATTCAGAGCAGCATGGAAAATGATGTGGCTTAACACAAAGCTGAGAAAACACATAAGTACATAGAGGGTGTTTTGCTAGTTTAGACATCTCCAAAGTGAATAGATTTTAATAACAAGTCATTGCTTGTTAACATCCAAGAAAGGAGGTTTATTCATCTTATGGGCCCAATATTTTGGTGTATGACACATTAGTTAAATGCTATTGATTTGGAAAATGAAAACTTAATTTGTATGTACTGTGCCATATTCCCCACTGCATGTGCAAATTTTGTAACCATCTGAAGAAAATCTTCAACCTGAGATTTTAATGAAGGGATATCTGAAAAAGATATAGTACATATGCTCACTGATAAGTGGGGATATTCACAGTTGAGATCAGCTGAGAGGTCTCTTTTACCTGGTCAGTTAAAGAGAATAATTAGAGCCAAAGCCGGATCCCCTACTTAACTTGAGAGAGGGTAAATGTTCTTCTAAGCTCAAACATCGCCATTTTTCTTAGGCAAGGTGTGTATAAAGGGGAAGAGTTAAAGGTGCTCAGGGCATTAATAAAAGTCGTATATTAAAAATACTGCAACTGTTATTAAAGTTAAAAATCAAAAGTTAGGGTACACAGCTGTTCTAGTAAACTTTTAAAGCAATGACATCATTTCAAAACATCCAAATTTCTTAGATATGTTAAAATTTTGTCCGAAAAGAAGCTTCATAAAAGTAACTGTGACTGAAACCAGGTATTTGTCTCTAACTTTACATGCAAACCCCAATCAATGGTTATAAATAGGTTCCTTACTGATTTGTGCTTAGGACAACCACTATATTTAAGCAGTTTAAGAGCAACCTCTAAGCCAAATGACACTTGTATGTAGCAGATTACATGTGTGTCTAACCTATATTCCGTGCCCTGATATATTGCTAAAGCCCTATGAGATAAAAGCTGATATGATTTCTACTTTATATGTGAATAAACCAATACCCAAACAAACCAGCAAAGGTCATCCAAGGTCATTTTCTTGCCAAGGTCAGAGATAGGAATTGAAGACAGACGTTCTGGCTCTGGAACACACGTGCTTACCTATCAGGCCATACTGCCTTGTAGCAGGCCTCCGAAGCTGAGACAGCTGAACTATTATATTACAGCATGCATGTAAATCCAACTTACCCTGTCTGTTCTTCCTGGAGATACCAGCTGGTAACAAGCAGTCCTTTGCCAAAGCTGTTTTCAGTAAAATACACATTTTATCTTGACACTGCAGGCCTTCATTAAACTGTGCACAGAAATTTGTTTTGAAATAACCAAATGAAATTCTGTCCCCTTTTCTCCCTAATTGCTTCTAATAATAAAGTTAGTTCTAACTGGCTCCACCGTCACTGCCTCATCTGATGGTAATGAGCAGTTCTTGGCGGAAGGCACTGTGACTTAAATACCTGTAGTTTATCTTTCTGTTGCAGGCTACCTTTCCCCCACCCCTCAGACAGAGGGACTTATTTGGAAGTTACTAAATGAACCTTTGTTTGCTCCCTTCATTAATTACTCTTTGCTCTTGCAAGCTCCCTTTCTCCTATGTTAAATGGCCTAAAGACACCAATTAAAATGCTGTCTTATAACTTTTATTCTGTGCTGGCTCAACCTATACCTAAACTTGCAGTGACCTGCGTAAGTCAGTAGGCATTTGAGGAATCCCAGTCATTATCAGTGTGACCATACAAGTGAGTCCTGACACCCAACACCTGAAAACCCTTTGTTTTCAATCAAGAACACTTGGGAACAAGTATCCAGCTGTAAGAGCCTCTTCTTCCTCATATCCTCCATATCTGACCCTTCTCCTGCCCAGTTGTTCTTTTACATAAAGTAGCAAGAAGAAAAAGAATGGTGTTTCTGGATTCTCAAAGAACTTAGGTTGAATTTCACTGTAAAAGCAATGTTATGAATAGTGGCTAGTTGTTACTGAAATGTATAATCTCATGTTGTAGAAACATTATGGGTTCTGAGGACTGATCTGTGAAGTCAAGTGAATTCTCAATTCCTAGCAGCCAGCTTCACAGCAGACACTTGAAATAGCGTGTTTCCACTTAGGAACTTCCTTGAGTCACCCCATAAAGGCAGTTGGTCCGGTTACCATAGTATAAAGTCATCTCTGCAAGGGCTAATGCCTGAAATTTCATTACTTGGATTTAAGACTATGTTTTTCAGAATAAACTGTCTTCCCATGTTAACACTTCTATAAGCCAGAAGTATGCAGTAATTCCTGTTGAGTGTGGATTTGGCATGATGAAAAGAGGAGAGGAAAGAGAAGATAGCATGGTGTTATAAAGGACTGCATGGGATCACTGTTGTGAATGAGGATTATCAATCAGGAACAAGCAGAGTTCCAAAGGGGAGTGCTTTACCGTCCAGTGTCTTGGCTCAGATCTCATCTCCAGCCCTGACTAACTGCTTGATGGCACATGTATTACTCCCTCTGTGTCTTATTTCTGCTTTGGGCAACATGTGGAAATATCTGTGTGGATATTACCTGAAATGAAGACTGGCACGGTGGTTCCATGAGTCTCAGCTATTATTGCTCAGTTAAAAGGTTGGTGGCTGAGCCATTATATTAGTTTCCCTTAAAGCTGGCCTCTAAGTAACTCAGTTTAGTCCCCGTATGAAATGAACTTGTTTTGCTGTGATTAACAGTGAACCCTGCTCAATCTCACAGAGCCATTTCACATGATTAATTCTGCTCATTGTTCCCACTGTCACATACCTGTGCAATAGTGGAGTTCAGACCTTGAGATACTTTTGTACTTGGCTTCTCCAAGATACAGTCTCAAGAATGTAGATTTGGCACAGGGAACTTGATAATCGGTCTGCTAATAGAACAAAATGATATTCTGGCAGCTATTGTAACCATATCTTGAAATAATATATAGAAGAGTCATGAGTTATGGAGACACAGTTTACATAGAGAAACAACTATTGTCCCTAAAGGTAACATATTTTTGATACACATTTCCTTTGGGTTAAGTTTTACATTCCCTCCCCACTCCCTTTTCTAATTGCTTAATCAATTGACTGATTGATTGGGGTACTAGGGATTGAACCCAGATCTTCCTGCTGAGCTACATCCACAGCCCTTTTAAAATTTTGTTTTCTATTCTGTTTGTTTGTTCACTTTAAGACAGGCTCTTGGAAAGTAAGTTGCCCAGGCTGATCTTAAACTTTTAACTGTCTGCTTTGATCTCCCAAAGTGTTGGACTGACAGACATGTACCACCTCGCTGAATCTCATGTCTTCATTATTTTTTCTCTTTCTTTTGTGAGATAAGGTCTTGCTAAATTACCCAGACTAGGCTTGAATTTATAATCCTCTGCCTCAGCCTCCTAGAGTTCTAGAATTAAGGTATGTATCACTGTGCCCTGCATCTGTTTTAGGACGCTAGGAAATTCTGTTACCACCAGGCTCATGTTTTCAGGCTGTTTTGTCTGGGTTTCATTCACTCACTGGCTTGAGGTTTGTCAGCAGTACTTGTAACTTTCCTTGAGTCAGAAGAGCTCCAAGACAAAAGGCTGCTGGGTTCAACCACAGTGCTAGAAATTTGACTGGTCTCTTTCTAGATAAGTGACAATTCCAAGCATTTCAGTGGCCAAAGAAGCCTCTACCCAGGATGAGTCTAATTTAGGACTTATATTGTTCATTTGAAAACAAGTTCTTTGATTTTTCGAATGCTGTCACTCTACCTCAATTATGGCCTTGAGAGAATCCTCAGCTGCACGTTTGGGGTAGTATCTTATGAAACTGTTTTCACTTATATACATTCAGGTTGCCTGAAGAGAAAATTATTAAGATGAATATTTCCTGAGTTTCATTAGACTATATAAAGAAACAAAATAAGTCTAAGAGCTGGAGGTTGTGAAGGTAAAGCATGACCGTTCCCCGAAACACAGAGATCAATGCAAAACTTTGCAGAATGTACTGTGTGATATAAAATACTGTTAGTGGGTTTCACCCCACAGTTTCCACGTGTATTGCCAAATCTTCTCAAGTTTTGCGGAGTTCATTGATTTTCTAGCAAGTCATTCTGGTGCCCTGAATGTGGTCTCTAATTGTTTCCATGTTTCATAACATGCCAATAAGTACATGAATTGGTCTGGGCAACCACATGGAGGGAAGAAAAAGTTTGGAAAAAATGAAACACTGGCAGGAAAGCAAGATGTATACAGCTGGGATTTCCACTCAAAGGATGCTATTTGTGAGTAACTTGAGTATGTAGTTGGCAGCTTCCCTTGAAGAATTATAGTCTCCAAGGTAGGACTGGCCAAGGTGATTCCTGGTCTAAGGAGCTCCATTACTTTTTTCTTTCCCTTTCATCTATATGCTTTTGGCTATTTCTCTTCTACTTTGTTTCCCATCTGGACATACACAACACAGAGGGAATGTGGAAGGCTCCTCTTGCCAAATCCTGGAGCACCTTTGATGGGTTGTTTAGATGCTGAAATGGCTTAAACAGGGTTAGGAGGGGAGTGTCATTCATTTGTCCTCAACAGCCTGCCTTTATTCCCTGCTGATAGTTGAGACTGTTTTTA